TGGGTAATCCAATTGGGTTACCAAACAATGCACAATCCACTTTCTTGAATTTACCAAGAGCCCCAAATCCAGATAGTGAAAAGGCTTTTGTCGCCCGTCATCAGCGTGTCTCCATATACATGGAAAGGCACAGTGTTCTGAAATGAAAATTTAATATATATTTCATTGAAAAGGCTACTGCATTTTCTTTATTTTTCCTGTCATTCTTCAGTACCTGCATGCTTGTGGTTAGTAGCTTATAATTAGTCGAAAACGGGCATAGGCGGGGTCGGTTTTGACGTAGTCGTTTAAGTACATGTGCAGGTACGCTGATGGTAAGTTCGACTCCTGCGCTCGACTGGAATATGACTGTGGGAGTGGCAGGTACGCTGATGGTAAGTTCGAGTCCTGCACTCGACAGGATTATGACTCTGGGAGTGTCAGGTCCGCTGATAGTAAGTTCGAGTCCTGCACTCGACAAGATTATGACTCTTGGGGTGTCAGGTACGCTGATGGTAAGTTCGAGTCCTGCACTCGAGAGGATTATGACTCCGGGAGTGTCAGGTCCGCTGATGGTAAGTTCGAGTCCTGCACTCGACAGGATTATGACTCTGGGAGTGTCAGGTACGCTGATGGTAAGTTCGAGTCCTGCACTCGACAGGATTATGACTCTGGGAGTGTCAGGTACGCTGATGGTAAGTTCGAGTCCTGCACTCGACAAGATTATGACTCTTGGGGTGTCAGGTACGCTGATGGTAAGTTCGAGTCCTGCACTCGACAGGATTATGACTCTGGGAGTGTCAGGTCCGCTGATGGTAAGTTCGAGTCCTGCACTCGACAGAATTATGACTCTGGGAGTGTCAGGTCCACTGATGGTAAGTTCGATTCCTGTACTCGACAGGATTATGACTCTGGGAGTGTCAGGTCCACTGATGGTAAGTTCGAGTCCTGTACTCGACAGGATTATGACTCTGGGAGTGTCAGGTCCGCTGATGGTAAGTTCGAGTCCTGTACTCGACAGGATTATGACTCTGGGAGTGTCAGGTCCGCTGATGGTAAGTTCGAGTCCTGCACTCGACAGGATTATGACTCTGGGAGGGTCAGGTCCGCTGATGGTAAGTTCGAGTCCTGCACTCGACAGCATTATGACTCTGGGAGCGTCAGGTACGCTGATGGTAAGTTCGAGTCCTGCACTCGACAGCATTATGACTCTGGGAGTGTCAGGTACGCTGATGGTAAGTTCGAGTCCTGCAATCGACAGAATTATGACTCTGGGAGCGTCAGGTACGCTGATGGTAAGTTCGAGTCCGGCACTCGACAGAATTATGACTCTGGGAGCGTCAGGTACGCTGATGGTAAGTTCGAGTCCTGCACTCGACAGAATTATGACTCTGGGAGCGTCAGGTACGCTGATGGTAAGTCGAGTCCTGCACTCGACAGGATTATGACTCTGGGAGCGTCAGGTACGCTGATGGTAAGTTCGAGTCCTGCACTCGACAGGATTATGACTCTGGGAGTGTCAGGTCCGCTGATGGTAAGTTCGAGTCCTGCACTCGACAGAATTATGACTCTTGTGGTGTCAGGTACGCTGATGGTAAGTTCGAGACCTGCACTCGACACGATTATGACTCTTGGAGTGTCAGAGACCAGCCCATGCTCGTTTATTTCAGCCAAACAGTAACCGTTGATGACTTGAAACACTTTTGGCGTACCCCCCACCTGTCATTTAATACAGCTTAGTACGGCGTTAGAACTAATTCTTTCAGTCCTTTAATTAAACGGATGCGCCCTACATTTTATAGTGGATCATGAAAAAAGAAAGATATGTGTCTTCCGATGTATACTTATATAGATGTTCATTTCACTGATAGCGGGGGTGAACGCGTACTCCGATTGCAAACATTTATGGAAACGTGTTCCGATTCATTTCGTGATTAACTTCATAAATATAACCATTATACCAAGATTTAATCAATCATGTTCGTTACATTATTTTTTAAGAATCTATACATGTAAACTCCTAACAAACACACCGGTCGTCACAGTTTACTCACCCAAATGGAATAAAGGTTAAATCCTTTGAGGACGGGAAGGGATCATTGGTTTTCTCTCTGTGTCTTGGACATTTCTGTATAAGGCATCAGAGGGCCTGTTGTCATGGTCCCCAGACCTGGCCTTTTCAGACGGATCTCGCCTCCTGCTGACCCCGCCAACAGGATTCGAAAGCTCATTCGCATACTGATTTTCTTGACTGAATTCCTTTGCAAACAAACCTATTTGTGTCGCTTGGTGGTCCATATCGTCGTAGACATTTTCATTTCGTTGTGAAGCCTCAAGAGACTCATATTGCTGTGATTCCGTGACATCGCTGTTATGACAGGTATCATCTATGCAATGATAGGCTCCACTCTCGCGGGATGCGTCTGAAGAAAAGAGTTGAGAGGGTTGCTGGAATTTTGTCCAGAATTTGTTGATTCACGAACATACGGCAAAAAGTGTTTTGTTTGAGCTTTTACAAAGATATGTTTTATGTGCTTGTTGAATATGATGGATGTCCTGACAAAACTGTGTTGTGAAAAAATGTTCGGCTGAACTTGTTAGTGAAAACAATTAGCCTTTCTCCAAACAAACTAACACACACATACTATTTTGCCGATGTTTCTATATCCAAGACAAACCATATTGTTCCACATTGTTTATCTTCTCGAAGAAGGTTTACTTTTATGAAGGCCTTTGACCCATATACAGCTTTTACGTTCAAATAAATAATACAAAATTTCAAACAATTTCAAATCTAGTTCTACTGGTTAAATAACTGGCTTAGTATGTTCTTAAATGTAAGACCATACATAAAGCGGAACAAATACAGGCAACATATTCCTACAGTGTCAGAATCAGTACACTTGACTTACTTTGCCTTTCTGCATCTTCTCTCAGTGCATCCATTTCAACTACACCCTACAGAATAAAAGGTGGATAGGCTTTAACATATTTCCATCAGTTAAACGTTTTGATAATTTAAGTCATTTAACGTTTGGTTTAAGTGATACAATTGACGATTATCATAATTTCCGATACGATCCAACATCACTGATGGATCAGTTGATGCAGTACATCGTCACGATCCATTGTTCAGAAAGAAGAGATGGGACATCATCAGTTGTCCATGCCATCACAAATTAATATGAGGTGAGGTGCATTGGGGTTTAACGTCGCGTTCAACATTATTTCACTTATGTAGTATGCACGTGTGAGTGTGGCTACTTGTACTAGTCCGAACTGACGCCGATTTATAGTGCTAGCCCACTGAGATACCATGCCGCAGTTTAACATGAATACCCCACTCAGACACAATACACTAACTCCGCCGACCAGTTCTTGTTTTAGCCCCTGAATGCCGAGCGCCAGGCACCCTAACAACAAGTACGATCTTTTAACGTCTTTTGGTATGACACGGTCGGGGATCTGATGCCGATTTATAGTGCTAGCCCACTGAGATACCATGCCGCAGTTTAACATGAATACCCGACACAGTACACTAACTCCGCCGACCAGTTCTTGTTTTAGCCCCTGAATGCCGAGCGCCAGGCAACCTAACAAGAACGATCTTTTAACGTCTTTTGGTATGACACGGTCGGGGGTCGAACCCCGAACCTTCCCCTCTACGAGCGGACGCTTTACTGCAAGACCAAATTAATGTAAATGATTAAAAAAAAGCACAATATTGGTTGCAGTTTCAAAATTTCTTATTCGTGCTTTCATATATTTAAATGAGTATGGTACGGAAGCGTAGTGGGGCCACATTTTTTTTTGGTCTAAGTATCTCCTACGTAGGACTTACTATCTCCTACGTAGGACTTAGTATGGCCTAGAATTACTATCTCCTACGTAGGACTTAGTATCTCCTACGTAAGTCCTATGTAGGAGATACTAAGTCCTACGTAGAAGATACTTAGTCCTACGTAGGAGATAATAAGTCCTAGGTAGGAGATACCTGGACAAAAAAAAAATTCACCGTGGCCCTACTACGCTTCCGTAGTATGAGTAACAGAGAATACTAACCTAGTAGAAATGCAACACACCAACACCAGAGAATAATCTCGAGTGATGCAAATTGTATGAATGGATCACTGAAGACCAGTGGTGACACAGGTGTTGGCGAGAAAGGCAAGCATAACCTGCCCTACCGGCAGCGCCCAGCACTCTCAATTTCCATTACAAAAGTGAAAAAAAGAGAATTGAAAATCCCATGTTAAGACCATAGAATGGTATAGTATCGCGCATCATACCTCTGAAACCCTTGTGAATTAGTATTTTTAACCGCTACTAATAGGTTTTTGAAACGTGAAGATAATCCGTGAGTTGTAGTAAATGACTGAAGCGCAATTAAAATGTCGAGCGCTTTGGGATTGAGAATTATCCGTACTTAGTTGTTTACAAACATGATAGATTTCATCTTTCGAAAACATTTGGGGCGGGACAGTAAAAAAATGAACCTCTATAAGAGCAACAAAAGAGTTATTAGAGGCGTTTTTTTACCTGATCTGTGCGTCTAGTATATTTTGTTTTATTATTCATAGACACTCTGTGGTCATTTACTGAATCAACAATGTATTTCCGATTTCGGGGTTAAACATTGTGTTTTTAATTTGAAAACAAAGGAAACTTTGTTACCTCTGTGATGTGCTGATCACGTGGTCGCCTCAGGTTAATAACTCCTTTACGAACCTGAAAGGAATTGTAATAATATTCATATTGAGATACATCCTGTTATTGTTTGTGTGTTTTCCTTACAAGGAGACACCAGGAATGGCTCAATGCAAATTATACTCAAAAGGCGTTTGAGAGGAAATCAAATCAAAGCAATAATTTTTGGGTTGCTGAACTGACTATGATTATGTTTCCAGCCTTGACTGCTACATAAAAGTGACACAGGGTGTGGCAGTCATCTGATATTGCTAAGGATTGCAAAGCAAAATGACAAATTGCGGCACTTTAGACGACAGGGTGACCCATGGTCTTATATGTATTCATGTTTTCGATGGTCCGAAAAAAAGGCCTAACATTTTAAATTGTCTTCGTAAGAAACTTGAGCATTTACATTTGTGTTGACAATACACTGGGTAATGAAGATCATGAATCCCTGCAGGATGCTGATGACTGCGAACAGATAGTCATAAACATCGCTTCCGTCTTGAACGGATAAGAGACCAAAAATCCAGGCCAAGCCAAGAACCGGTATCATGAAGCACATCAAATGAAGAGGTTTCCTGGAAATATACGAAACACATATCGTCCAGAGAGGGAGCAGTAGAAAAGTTCGAAGTCAGACAAAAAACCTATTTCTTTACATTTTAAGGCAGTCACCCTAATACTTGAAAACAAATATCTACATGCTCAGGAAAAAAACCCAGAAATCTCAATAACCTTGCATAAAACATTGCACAACAAAGATTGTGGAGAAACACCAACGCATCCAGGGAGGTATATGGTCGTATTCTTTACGATGGGTTCCCTGTTGTGTAACCTCGGATGTATAACTTGAACATGGCCTCTTAAATGAAAGCCACATTTGACGTGATAGTAATTGATACTGACCCGGGTCGGAATAGATCCCCACTCTATTGTGGCTTGTCGTAAGAGGCGACCAAACTGTAAATGACTTCATACATTGCCTACGTGTCATCGTACCCCGACGATGGACGTTGTCCATGAGCACTGGTTTGTCTGGCTGAGTCGCGGCTATCTACTCACCGCAGTGATATACCAACAACTACACCAACTGACTAAATGTATTTGCTGTACATTTCCTTACAAGGAGACACCTGGAGTGGCTCCCTGTAAATTATACTCAACAGGCTTACGAGAGGAAATCAAATGAAAGCAAAAAATCCTTGGTTGCTGAACTATGATTATGTTTACATCCTTGACGTCTACATACGTGTGGCCTATAGGAACAGTGTGTTGCACATTTCATTAAAGAAATCCACTGTCAGCTGATCCTGATGTTGCTAAGGGACACAAAGCTAAACGGCAAATTGCGGCACTTCAGATGACAGGGCGACCCATTGCCTTTTATTAATTCATATTTTCGTTGGTTCGTAAAATAGCCACTGTCCGTATGTACATATAGCCATCAATACTTACGTTTCCTTTTCTGGATCATCTTGGTTACGTAAAGCCCGTCTCGCCAGGTGATTGTGTATCATTTTTCCAATTACGAAAAAGTTAATCTGAAACAATAAAATCGTTCAACGATAAAATCTTTACCGTGAAGGACGTTTTTAATCAGCAGGAATAATACTATTCTCACTTTTGTCGCGTATGCACGTATATTGTATTTGTATATTGTTTTGCCTATATCCCAAATCATGACGCGTCACAATTCGCAGAGCTGAGTTGCGTCCCTTATCTATGTCAGGATCATCGGACCCTGGGTTCGAACCCGAAATTGCTGTGGTTATGATTTAGTATTCTCAGTGTCATACCCTGAAGGGGAAAACGTGTCTGCCCTGTGACACTTTGGAATTTCCCCACTTTGAGCTAATAGGTCGTGGTACAAACTTGAATAAAGTGAACATGGCCATATATTGTAACAATAACTCCATAGGGTCTCGGGTGGCCCAGTAGTCTAAGGCGACGCAATTCGCTGTACGAGAGGGGTTTGTATCCCAGGTTATTGGTCAACATCACACACGCACACATACGCACACACACACACGCACACACACACGCACGCACACACACACACACACACACACACACACACACACACACACAGCACTAACGCACGTCGCTATATAAGTACCATCAACTTCCCTCCGAGTGTCTTGTTTGTCGCCGCACTCAGCAATATACCAGCTATAAGACGGCGGTCTGTAAATAATCGAGTCTGGACCAGAAAATCCAGAGACTGACATCATGAGCATCCATCTATGCATGACATGCATAAACCAAATCAGCGAGCCTGACCACCCAATACCGCTAGTCGCCCTTCTCGACAAGCACTGTCTGTTAAAGGCCAATTCTAACCCAGATCTTCACGAGTTTTCTTCACAGTGAGTCGAAATGAAACAAACGAATACTCACGACGAGGATGATCAGAACGGGAACTATGAACAGCCATTTCGAATCACCAGCAAGAGACAACCAGCAGCTATGAAGAAAAGAGACATGGACATTCAGTATGAGGAATTCCATGCTAATAAGGTAAACGGAAACTGAAACATTTAAAGGCATTATTAATGCCATGTTTGTTGTTTAATGCCGCACCCAGCAATATTCCAGCGATATGACGGCGGTCTGTAAATAATCGAGTCTGGACCAGACAATCCAGTGATTGATAACATGAGCATAGATCCACGCATTTGGGGTACGATAACATGCATCAACCAAGTCAGCGAGCCTGACCACCCGATCCTGTTAGTCGCCTTTTACGACAAGCACAGTCGCCTTTTACGGCACGCATGAGTTGCTTAAGACCTATTCTACCCTGGATCTTCACGGGTCTAATGCCATGTACATGAATGTGAGGGCGCGCAACAGTTGCGCGTCACTTATGTAAATATTCCAGAAATAATATGGTAGGGACCTCACGAATGACCATGTATCGCACATTACCAATTTTCGCCGTGACATGCTACCGCTCCAACCCCTCTGCTACACTGCGCTATGGAGAAAACCTAAATCACTGTACATCTGCTTTAAATGCTAAAATCGATTTGTATATTACCTTGAGGATGATTTAACAATATCATTATAGCCAGCTCATTAACAATGAGACTCTAGTATAACTGCACGCAACACTCACTGCAGGCCTGGTTCATAGACTTGTAATTGAGCACAAGAGATGATGACTGCTAACACGGTCAAACCTGGAAATGAAATCACAACCAATCTGAAAAATACTCCTTAACGACACGCAAACCATATCCACTTTTCATAATCATAACAGTCATCAAACTATGTTATTTGGTTTTGCAAGATGTGTAAGATGACACGTTGATAATATCTACCTATGCCTGCCTAAGCGAGGATCTGTGTTATGGTTTCCTCTATCCTAAGACTTCCAAATAGTGACAAACGAGTGTACGGATATGTATCGCGTGTTGTCCACAACCCGAGACAATTGGGATTTACCTTCGAATGAAAATGTGCCTTTGAATATATTACGTCAACGCCAGAGAATAACCAGTCTCGATTATCTACACGAATCAGATTCCAGTGGGTGTAAACAGCGGAATAGCAGTGAAAAGTATGTCAATGGATCACTTAAAATCAGTATTAGCATCAGGTGTTCACGAAATGGGTAAGCAGGTATGCAAACCCGGAAACACCCGCCACTCACAAAATATGACAATGTGTTCGTTGTCTCGCCTTTGCATGTGTTTGTGACGGGTGCCACCTGTGGTATCACCATTATTGTCAGTGATTCATAAACACATGCTCAAGATATGGACGGAATCTTACAATCGACTCTATGCAGAGATTTCTATTGGATATGGAACGGGTTTTGTCGCTTTATTTATTTGCCTGACACTACACCATCGCAATTTATTATCTGCAAAAAACAAATACCTCGGTATAACTATAACGCTCTCATGAAATAATAAGCTTAAATATTAATGTTGTAATCATTCCGAAAGACCTATCTGTATAAAAGAAATAAACATATAACATGCCTACCTTAAAGTAGCTTACAGTTATGAAATATATCACAATCTTTTCAGTGAGTGAATTGGATTTAACGCCGGATTATTCAGTATTCCAGATATTTAGAAGGAAGGTTCGATATGATGCAGGTCTCAGACGTTTACCACTTTTGTGAAACCCACAGGCACGGGTATAGTGCTGGCAAACCTGGAAACGGGATTCGAACCAACGATCATAGGTTTCTGGCGTATCTCTGCATAGCAACTAGGTCACAGCAATGTCAGAATAATAACTTACCCCAAGCTCCAATTAAGAGGGGTTTGAGTTTGGATCTGTTAGGGAACACGTGAGAATCAGACCACAATGCCTCCAGACCGGAAGCCAGCATCATGAAGAATGTCGCCATGTAGAAGAAGTGGACGGCTACGGCGAAGGCGATGCAGAGACCCTAACAGACCATGTAACATATCTTAATATAGGTAATAAGTAATGGAAGAACATTATAGTAAATTAAAATAAACGAAAACATATTTCATAATGATAAATATATATCATCATGGTGTATGGATCATATATAATATTACAGTTCCCGGGAAAGATTTTTTCAGCTAACAACATCGTATATACTGTAAACCCCGGTTGTTATGAACTCAAAGGGACCACTGATTTTAGTTCGTTATAACCGTACTTCGTCATAAGCGTACATACAGCAAATGGACGGTACCAAGAAAACAGTTCCTTATATCCGCCAGTTTGTTATAAGCGTGTTCTTAAGTAACGTAGTTTACTGTATATTTCTGGACAGGTTTAGCTTTAAATACATTTATAAACATGATCTATCATCATGTGGATACGTTAATGAACAGTGTGTACACGCTGAATGCATGACAGTTATCAAAACATATTCATAAATATAAAGAAATGGGAATTCGAATACAATTATAATTCAGTTAACATACTTAAGACCTACAGTGTATAACTCACATATTCGTCCCTCCCTATTCCAATCATGAGCAGGAGCAGGGCAACAGCAAGGCACACACAGATATGAATCACGATAACAGCTTGGTCAGATTTCACGTATCTGGAACAAACATGTTTTTTTCTCAAAATACAAAAGCTTATATAATGAGTGAGTGAGTTGCGTTCAATCCTTCTTTGAACAATATTCCGTCACATCTCGGCGTGTCTGCTTATATTGGAAGGAGTGAGTGAGTATGGTTTTACGCCGCTTTTAACAATATTCAAGCAATATCACGGCGAGGGACACCAGGAATGGGCTTCGCACATTTTACCCATGTCGGTAACCACCCGGGCCTTTAGCGTGACGAGCGAACGCTTTAACCACTAGTCTACCCGACCGCCCCTAAATTGGAAGGAAAGGCCAAAGCGACGTGCTATGACTCATAACCGGGGGAAGGTTTGGTTTCAATCACACGATCAGCAAATCCTGGCAATGTTTAAAGATTTACATGACATGACATGATTGTTATATATTCATATAATAAATAGTGGTAAATAGTATCAAAATGTTTGTATCGGGTATGGCTTACCTAATATGAAATATTATCACAAGTCATTCATATTTGTTATTACTTTCTTAAATATTGATTAATTTGTCATGTTCATGTTATTTTCCCTTTAATGAACGCTCACAATGTATAGAAGAATATAACTCTTGCGGACACGAACTTAAGTATACGTTGTATTATAATTATGTTTCAATGATACTATTTAGTATCATATCATGAGTGGTGTCCCAACACATAAGTAGATACTGGCTGCATGTTTATTAAACTACATTCAACAAAGCTATAAGATGGCACCAAAATGGCACCAAAATGGCACCAAGATGGTACCAAGATGGCACCAAGAATAAGAAACATACCTCCACGTCAAGGCGTAAACAATCACTGTCAGGACTAACAGCACGATTTCTATACTGCAACACGCTATTTCTGCCGGTGTTAGTGGATGACTAATTATAATTTGTCGGGCGTCCTGTAAAGGAAGAACATTATCATAATTATTGCTGTGTTACTAATTACAAACTATCAAATCAGTTAGTTCCGCATATGCCTGGCAATGAAAACCCCTCTGTAGACTGTAAGACATTTCCTCAAAGAAATATATATTTAAACCAATGGAAATTATAAGAAAAGCTATTTATCCTCAACCGGTTTGTCACCTGGCCAAGATAAAGGTTCGATTGTCTAATTTATAACGTGCAGCCAAGGATTATTTTTTCTATTTTGCTCTTATAGCGCACTGTTATGATAGCGCTTGATAAAGTTTGTGTGGGCATTTCATGATAGTGAATTGATTAAACGCCGCTTTGAACCGTATTTCAGTTACACCACGGCGTGTCTTAAGACGTTAACCACTTTGACTGAATCACGAGCATGGTAGACGCGTCTTACGTTATGCACACACGCACGGACTCACGCACGTACACTCTACGCACACACGCACACACGCACACACGCACACACCCATCCATGCTCAAGTATGTTTATGCATGCACTCACCGGACTCATAAGTACAGCAAAGTTCGTCAGATGACCACAGGAACATTCTGTGAAGGATGTTCCCGATATACTTGTATTGCATCCGTCATGATCCCACAGACTGAAATTAAGATGAATTGGATTAACGCTGCTTTGAAGGTATTCTAGTTATGTCACGGCGTTTCATCTTCATGTAGGAGTAAAGTCCGTAGGGCTTAGACGGTACAGGCTTAACAATAATAGTATGATGAATGTAGACCTACAATCATAATGAGGATAAAGAGTACCCGTTTATAGTCGCTCTGTCGACTGGATCAGGGTGCTGTTGTGCAAAGCAATCTTAGCGCTAAGGTGATCGTATCTCCCATACCTGGGCCCACTTGCACAAAGCGATCTTAGCGCGAAGGTGATCGTAACTCCCATACCTGAACATAGACTTAAGACAGCCGTGGCGCTAAGCTGTTTCATATAACGGCACCCAGGTCGTTACATAGCCGCATTGACTCAAACTGGCGAGGTACAAACTGGTTATCCAGTTCGTTAAGCTTTAACAGAGGGTCGACCTTGGAACTATCTGTTATCAGCTAAGGAGTTAGTTTCCTCAATTTGACTGACAGGTGTATTGTGCACTTTATTCAGCATGATAGATACAAGGAATACATACCCCCGTAATGTGTTGAGGTAGACGCACATTCGCCCTTCACCAATGAGAGACAGCTGCAATGTGAACATACACCAAATTCAGGTATTTCTTGAAATATTAAAGCTTCATTTCTTGTTATCTGATCATATCTTTCTAGTATCTAGCCACCCTGTAAACTTAAATGATTGGTCCTAACGTAGATTTGTAATAATGCAACAGTGAAATATCGGCATTGTGTTTAAAGGTTTCTGTCTTATAAAAGTACTGTCAAGGGAGGAATCAGATTAAACAACGTGCACACATTTAATTTAAAAATGGCTCTTGGCCTGCTAGGTTAGCTGTTGACAGTTGACATATAATATGGTTTCCCTTAAGCTGTCAAAGGTCTAAAGCCTTTACGTCGGTATGAGTAAAATTCATCTTCAATGGTGGATCGAGCGATTTCGTTGGAGCAGGAAACAGGTTGAAAGCGAGGAGACCAGAGTTGACCACCAGCTTTTCGGAACCATTCTTCCTGGAAACAATAGCTTTCTATAAAACATATTGAAAAAGATGAATATGTTCTGACTATGAATCATTACTTCTAAGGGTCGCCTTGAACTATATGCATCAGAGGGTTGAAAGTGGCTTGTTTGCATGAAATCTCACAACTACTATGCTGTCTTATAAATATTCTCTGCATAAAATTTTGTTCTACAATGTAACCTTAATTCAAACATATGATTACCTTCATTATTCATAAATATATTTTGGTAAAACCTTACCCCATGGTGTTATCTGCGGGTTCAGCTAACCGCTCCCCTGTTGGAAGAAGAGGTAAGATGTCCTTGTAGTAGATGGCGCTAAACCTTACTGTCGCATCTGCTGAAACAATAATTCAATATAAACAGTGAGTGAGTTGGGTTTTACGCCGCTTTTAGCTGTATTCCCGTTACATAACGGCGTGTCACCTTAATGTGGGAGGAAAGCCCAAAATGATGCAGGTCTCAGACGTTAACCACTTCGGAGAAACCCACGAGCACGGTGCTGACAAACCTAGAAACATAATCAGGGCGAACCTGGATTCGAACCCACAATCATAGGTTTCTGGCGTACCCAAGGGACGCAACTCTGAACAGCGAATCGCGGCGCCTTAGACGACTGGGCCACCCGTGACCCCGAAATATAAATAGAAAATAACAATCATAATTGTAAAATCGATGAAATAAGAACAATACACGATACATTATTACCGCTGATACACCAAACATTAGAAACGTAATTAAAACGTTGAAAGGTTGCAAATATTCCCCGAAACACAACGATGATACCTGTATCGAATACGTCACCGTCGAAGGAGAATTTCCTTTTGGTTTCATTTTTAGCCACCATCCAACAAAGGTGTTTACTGTCTTTTGGACGGCATTTTAACTCTCTGGAATATGTTCAGGAACGAAAGGTTCAGTAAAAATATGAACCCTAATGCTTGAGGTAATATTTTGTTGGCGGTTCACAAATATTAGGTGAACATTAAGGTCTTTTATGAAACGTGTGTAGTACCTGTGAATTGTTTCAGAGTCATGCTGTCAAGCTTCAAATGGACGTTACTGGTCACAGTGTTGGTACCCGAGTTGGCAGGAAACTCTATATCTTTAAGAGCTCCAGGGTCTGTTTTACCAAGCTGTAGTACTGTAAGACCAAACAAGGAAAGATCCGTATAGATATCCTTTGTTTTGGTGATAATTCAACACAATATTGACATTATAAATATGATAAAGTGCTTAAGGCTGTGAATAACGGTCTGGAAAAAATATATAAATTTACAACGTCTATATAAGAGATATAGAGTGGAGAGTGATTTGAAGTTGTTTTCGTCGTAGTCACCTATAATATCACTGCAGCTTGTAAAATAAATCGAGTCAAGAACAGGCAAACATGACTACGCATGTGCATCGATGGATGTCATCGATAAAAATAAAAGCGACAAAACGCGTTCCATGATGATAAGGAATCACTGAGGAGAGTCCATCGTACGATTCCGACTATATCGTAAGAATATTTCTATGCACAATCAGCAACGGCTACGAGCCTGATCACCCTGATTCCCATTTATGTCGGCTATTTCAACAATCATGGACCCTTAGGATGGGAGGGTGTGCTCCCACTTTGACCACTTTGGTGAAATCCACAAGTAATTGCCTGGAGCTGAATAGATCCCACGATCATAGGTTTCGGGTGCGCCTTACGGACGCTAATATGCACGGCGAGTTGGCACACACGCATGCCTTAATACGGAAACATCTGGAAAGATCTACCAATGTTAGTTGACTCAGCAGCGTGGACATCTCCTTCGTCCAGGCGGTTTGTGGTCACTTCGGTCATTTTGTCCAGAAGCTGAAGCACCGCAGTTGGCGATGTCCCATCAGCCTGTGTAGGAATATATGTTGTAATAACACCGCATATCACTGTTTATAGATCATGGTCACATACTTATCATCTGATACACACGTTTCCTTTTCTATCATTAATAACCAGCTGGGAATATCAACACATGATGCAGTATTTCAGGTACCGTGTGTCAACTTAATGTGGTGACACGCCAGGGTGATGCATGCGTTTGTATTCTCCTTGGTGACACCCAGGGCCACTTGGATGATGACATATCGTCATGAGTGAGTGAGTATGGCTTTACGCCGCTTTTAGCAATATTCAAGCAATGTCACGGCGGGGAACACCAATATGGGCTTCACACATTGTACCCATGTCGGGAATCGAACCCGGGTCTTCGGCGTGACGAGCGAACGCTTTAACCACTAGGCTACCCGACCGCCCCACATATAGTCATGATGACGGGCCAGTGATATGGCGAATGGACGTATTGAGCGTAAATAATTAAACCATGGGACAGCGTATTACCAACGGAAGGCGTGAGTATGGTTTTACGCCGCCTGTAGCAATAGCCCAACAATATCATGGCGGGGGACACCATAAATGGGCTTCACACATTGCACCCATGTGGGGAATCGAACCCGGGTCTTTGGCGTGACGAGCGAACGCTTTAACCACAAGGTTACCCAAACAGCCCCACGAACGGAAGGAATCACCTCCATGTCATTTTTGACGAAATAAGGATTCATAGACACTAGTTTTCACATCACTGTGAACTTAATTCTGATTCTTTTAAAAAATATTTTAGAATTACGCCAAATGGTGAAACATTAGTACAACTAACTTTATTTTCATAGGAGGAAGTAAAGACAGCCCATGGTCAAAATGCCATATTTGGTAAGGAACTTGTACATTGCGCAAATCATGCCTTTCAACTACTCTCAGCTATACCTCTTCATTAGCTCATGGTAGTAGTCCAAAAACGTGAAAGCTACAAAAATACTAAACAGCAAACGGAGTCGTATGAAGACATAACACATTTATAAATCGTTTCCGTAATTCTGAAATTTACAGCTGTCCTTTCCTGGTTGCCAATATGAACTCGCCAGGACGATACTAACCTCCAATTTCTTCCATTCGCCTACGGTACGTGAATCGAGAATATTACTGACGCTCTCCACAAATCCCTGAAAAAAATTGCATCAGTGGTGAAACAAACTGGAACCAATAAGTATCTATAAATACGAGTTTCAAATATGTAAATAATTTGGTTATACAAGGCGCAATTAACAGAAGACGCGTCGTTCAACACTATCAAAATTATCATTATCCATGTCCGAACATTTGACTAATTCATACATTGACCAATTAGTGAGCGACTGTTTAACTCCGCCGCAGTCAGAACTCTTCCATCACATAATAGAGTGTGGACCAGACAACCCGCCACTGATGTCATGAATAAGGATCAACGCCATCGTGTTACGATAACAACCAATCAGTCACAGAGACTACCCGATGACCCCTTGTACATAGTGGGTCGCATGCAATGACTGCAAGATTATCGAATTGATTTTGAAAATGAGAAATTACAAATCAGTCTTTTGTTTAAAACTGAAATCGTTACCTTTTTTGCTACTTCATGACAGAACTGATCAACTAAACGTAATGATTTAGATCTAATAATTCCTGTATTTATCGTGCGCCAATGTGGACAAATTCAGTCTCTCGTGACACAAGTTTAAAGCACATCCAATTTGAATACCCAAACCGTAAGTAAGGGCTGTACCAAAAAACATTCTGTGGCAATACGAAAGCAGAAACAAAAGGCATTAACGGGTAGGCAAGTGTGACACGGAGTGCGGGTATGTTACTTTCACCATTGTCAGCAATATTAGAACTAAATAACGGATAGCTGTTAATAATCAGTATTGATGTGTGAGAACCGAACCAGGTTATAAGGGTACGTTGACATGCGTTCAATCAGATCACACACTGTCACCGCCTACATGGTACTGAAACCCCAAATCAATGGCTAATCTGAAGGTCACACATACCATTCCAGTCACCCAATTAATATTCCTGAGTTTTTTTAATGCAAAAATGAAAACCTCTATGAACTGTTGTGTCTCCTCTTTGCTATCTTTGCAGGATTTGGTAATGTTCAACAGCCGACCCAGAGCCTGAATCGCCAGAACAATCCACTTGCTGGTCAGTTCCTCTGGCTGCGTGGCATTGGACAGGGCTCTGGCAACAGAGGAGATGTTCGCGACACGCAGGCCCTCCTCAATCCACTCAATCTGAAGCAGCATGTTAATGCGAATAAATAACTGGTACCTGTGCATGGTATAGATAGTCAAATATGAGGGGAATGATCCACGCTGTTATTTATTTATTCACGGCACATCCTGACTTCAATCGTGATCAAGGGGTTATTGTTGATATATATTTCTTATCTTCACTTAAACTCAAAATTCCCTGTTACGTGTCCAAGAAAGATGTACTTATATCCCGATGTCGCGTAATGTAACATGAACTGTATGTGGCAGGAACAGGCAGTACATTTGAGAGTGAATTTGGTTTAACGATTTGAACAGTGTTCCAACTATATCACGGCGTGTCAGCTAGATGTGTAAGGAGAGTAATGTATGTCCTAAACATCTACGGCAGAACACGTATATGGATCAAATATTGAATATCACTACTCCAGCACCATCAGAGTGAGTGAGTGAGTTGGGTTTAACGCCGCTTTTAACAGTATTCCAGTTATATCGCGGCGTGTCAGCTTAATGTGGGAGGAAAGTTATGCAGGTCTCAGACGTTTCCACTTCGGTGAAACCCACGAGCCCGGGTATGGTGCTGACAAACCTAGAAACATAATCAGGGCAAACCGGGATTCGAACCCACAATCATAGGCTTCTGGCGTGCCCAAGGGACGCAACTCTGAACAGCGAATGGCGGCGCCTTAGACGACTGGGCCACCCGTGTCCCAGCACCGTCAGAGAAAACATATTAACCACCTAACAATATCAAGTTGTTGACAGTTTTACAATATTACGTCCATGAAACGATATTATGTGGACTACCATGGACGATGTCATAACGACGTGAACCAAAACTGTATTTGAAGTTTGAATACGTTGTGACAATCTCATTATGACATCTAACAGTGACATTGATTTATAATTACAGTCGAACCTCGTTGTGTCGAACCATGCTGTGTCGAACGCTTTGGGACCTGAAAAAGAATTCGAGTTATCCCTGATTCGAGACATCAGGGGAATATAAGGGTTAATTTGGATACCTGGATCTCCCAAAAGAGTTCTAGACAATCGGGAACTCGAAACATCTACATTCGACACAACGAGGTTCGACTGTATATGTACTCACATCATCAATCACTCCTTCTAACAGTCGCACGAGACACTGGCTCCTGTCCTCGTCCTGCCAGCGGCCATCCTTACCACAGGATCGTGTCATTACCGCTGAAAACGTCACGTGAATTCTGATTTCAACTTACACCCACCCCAATGTTCCCTGGCCGCCTCAGTGGTCTAGTGGTAGAGCGGAAGGTCAGGGGTTCGTCCCGGCCGCGTCATAGCAAAAGACGTTAAAATATGGTACTTGTTGTATACACAGTAAACTGTGTCTGAGTGGGGTATTGGTGAAACTGGATTTAACGTCGCGTCCAAGATTATTGCACTTATATAGCGACGTGCATGCACATGTGTGTGTGTGTGGCTGCTTGTACTAGTCCGTACTGGTGCCAATTATTTTAGTGATAGCAGACTGAGATACCATGCCGCAGTTTAACATGAATACCCCACTCAGACACAGTATACTGACTCCGAGCCGACCAGTCCTTGTTTTAGCCCCCTAATGCCGAGCGCCAGGCAGGCTAACAACAACTACCATCTTTTAACGTCTTTTGGTATGACGCGGCTGGGGATCGAACCCCGGACCTTCCTCTACCCGGCCCGGGCGGACGCCATACCACTAGCCCACGGAGGCGGTCTATTAGATTACTAGACACAACGTAATAGATAATAAATTGTTAAAAGAAATCGGAAAATGGAAAATGAAACCATGTATGAATTTAACTGATACCATTAATTATGAACAAATATAGTCATGCATTTTTAAAGTTAATTAACTTGTTTAATATCATTTTGTGCTTGTTTTTCACTACAATTTCGTTATAAAGTGCTGTCAATACATACTAATAGATGTTTACATACATAATATATATAATATGACACAGCGGACAAACATGGAACGGGTGATATGCTGTCACCGCGAGCCTTTCACACACTTCATCGCGCTTTTGTTTCTGAGAGATTTTGAAATTCTCAAACGATGGCACATTTGTGCGGTGTCCCATTGCCACACCCACCTGTACCGCCTTTAGGGCATGGATACTCCGCAGTTAGACCAGCTCGCATTCCATGCCATTTGCCGTCCTCGTCACATCGGATGGTCTCAGCTGGATAACAGTAAATATAATATAGTTCAACAATATTAGACATCATTCATCTACTTGGGTAGTGTAAAAAGTGAAATTAATGCGTCTCCAAAAGAATGCGACTGCTGGCCCCTAGCCAAAAATGCGACTAAATATGAATGTGACACCCCCTCCTCTGACTAACTGACTGATATAGAAGATTTAACGTGCGCTTTCCGACTGTAGCGTATTTCGTACACGGGCCTGGCCAGACCATTTAGTGTATTCCGAAAAGGGTGAAAGTGGTGTGTGCAACCCAAGAGGGGGCTTTTAGGGGTTGCTTAATTATATTGAATTTTTGGAATTTTTAAATTTGGAATCAATGCCGAGGTGGGTGGACCCCCTCCTCTCAAGCATCAGTGGATTTATATCTGAACAAAATGTCCTCTGTCAGGTTTACAGGCGAATCCTCACCTTAATCCAACTTTACATTAATCCAATCACACACCATATAGCACCTCTTATTAGCGCTAAGTAGAGTACTTCAGCTAAAACAATACGTGCGCGCTGGCACGTGTCGGCCTTTAATGCAGTCGCAAAGAGCAAAGACACCGTGTTGGGTGGCGTCTGTCTGGACTTGCAGGTGTGATCAGTGATGACTTGAGTGAGTAGAACGCTTGTCTTGACCCCAGCAGTGACAATTCACAGGATGTAATTAGTGTTTGAATGACATTGTTTATATACTTGTAACAAGTGCTGCTCAGTAAACATTGATGTGGAATACATAGTTGTTTGTTTTCAGCGTATGTCTAAGTTGGTATTTCTGCTATCCAAAATGTCTTATTGTTAATATAAATACGATGGTTAATAATGCGAGCAAAGACCACTCGCGTTTTTCGCATTTAATTCACGCTCGCGTTAATTTCACGTTTTATAGTATTTGTCAATACATCACTCAATCCGTTCTTTACCATTATCAGTTAATGTGTGAGTGAGCATAGTTTTGCACCTGTTATCAATATTAATCATCATCATGGCGTATTGGGCGTCAGACATTGTACACATGCAAGATATCGGTCTTTACGCCTCCACAGCAAACTACAAATCATTATCCTTTATCCAACGTCTATCTGTATCAGACTCACCTCCTATGATGAAGACGATTGTCGATGGGCTCTGCTCCCCAGCACCGACTCCGTTGACACCGACACACGAGTAAGTAGCGTTATGAGCGCTACCACCAGTCACTCTCAGTATGGGACCTAGTAAACACCCTTCTTGAACATGTACGATGTACCGACAAGCTAGATCGTAGTGCAAACATATATCTGTTATCTATCTGATTTAAACAGTGAGACCAGAATGTCTGCTGGTATTATTTTTGTTCACTCAACTCGAATCGTCGTGCATTGGGAGTCCTTTAAAAACATACGACTTTAATTCATGTACATCCCTCAAGTTTGCTCAACTGATTAAAAAATTGCTCGTGGGTATATTCTCTGTGATATCATGTTTTATTTTTAGTTGTTTAACTTCGTAAGCAATATTCTAGATATCTGTTGACGGTCAGACATCATGTAATGTCCACAACAAAACCATTTTTACACAATTCCTTCTATTGGAAGCCAAGAACTTATCAACCAACCCTTGTATAAGACACTACTTCTTCACAACGGCTTTATCATAAAGTGTAAGTTATATTTCTACAATTGTAATAATTATCCTAATGCTTTACGAATCTTTTATAAGAATGCATGTAGATAATCATTAATTTATCATTATTCATTATACGATACTCACTCATAATAAACTGTAAGTGCATATACTTACCTCTCCCCACTGATTTTCCATTCGAGAACCAGGAAAAGTTGGTCACGGGGACCCACGACCCCGTTGTGTTACAGCTTAGGGTGGTAGTTTCACCAGACCGTATGAAGACTCTCTTCAGAGGCAGGACAGTTACAACTGGGCGGGGTATAACGCTGACTGTCATGGCCTTACTAGATGACAGCCCGCTCTCATCCCTGAGAGTACAATGAAATTGTCCTGGAAAATTAATACAGCCACATTAATCCTAACTCGAAGCTATTTGAATCGCGTCAGTTCGGTAAAGGATCGCGTTAATTCGGTAAAGGATCGCGTTAATTCGGTAAAGGATCGCGTTAATTCGGGAAAGCATCGCGTTAATTCGGCAAAGGGTCGCGTTAATTCGGTAAGGTTACTTATTGGACAATTGTTTTGGAAACACACCTTCTACGCCTTTATTGTAAAACAACTAATGATAATTTTACAAATCACAATTTTATATTACATGTTTTATTTTATTTATCTATTTTCTGGTTATGTTTGTTTTCTACCACATGGATCGAGGCACCTGAATAAACCCTGCTGCGGAATCTCACAAAAAACACCAATACTCTCACGTAGGCATCCTACTTTTTGTTAAGGTCTGCTCAGGCTGCTTAGTACACCTATATGGGACAGTGACATTTTACTGTGTGATCCGGATAGTTTGTTTGTATTGTAACTGCGATAGACATATATTTTCCATGAAGATGCTTTCGTCACTATAACTGGACACTTTCTTATGTAGGAATGGTGGAGAGTTCCACTCGGAAGACGTGTGTCATTTACATGGCGCTAGTGATTCAGAGTTGAAATATCGTTGCGAATAGCTACATGATTGCTAATGCGTTCCAAAGTAATATGGGCTTGATCACTATCCCAAAGGTACAATGTGTGAAGCCCATTTCTGGTGTCCCCCGCCGTGATATTGCTGGAATATTGCTAAAAGCGGCGTAAAACCATATTCACTCACTCACTCACTATCCCAAAGGCGTCATTATGTAAGTTGTCCAAAGGGAGATCCAAATGAAGATATCAAAAAGTAACATGTTTCTTGTAGGGAACCGGGAATGTTTTGTAAGAACATGATCTGGATCCTGACCTGGAAAACATGTTGTCAATTTTTGTGCACTTTAAAACATTAAATTTTTGTATTTCGTTTTGTGCCGCGCTGTGAGCCTGAAATCAAAATTACTAACACTACGAGGGTAAAGGGGATCCAAGTGATCCAACACGCACCTGAATCCTTAAACGAGATGTTACTAGCGACGAGTGTTCCTATATAATGCCCTGTGTTAGGACTAGTGAGGTTTGTCTGTAGGCGAGAGTAGGCCAAGGGCACTACGAGTGCATTGCTGGCCGTCATCCGCCATTCCACGGTGACGTCACCAACAGGTTGGACAAAGGTGCCAATGCACTCCAATTGAACCTCGGTGTTGTCCTTGGTGAATGCAGGTGTGTTTGAGGCGTCCGATGACGAATATACCATTTCAGATACCTGGGTGGAGCCAACTGAAACATAACATGTTGAATTATTTCATTAAACGCCGCTTGAACTGTATTTCATCATTAGTATTATTATTTACAGATTATTTTTTTTAAATGAAGCAAAGAGGGTTTGGGTGATCCTTGCATAGTCAGGCTGGTTAGGCTCATCATCAGCTCAGGGCCCTTGCACCCCTCTACACGAAGCCCAGACAGTGAATGGGACTTCTCTCAGGAAGGCCTGCCTAGTCGAACCCACCGATAACCTTTCGGAGAATATGAAGACTCCCCAACACTGCAGCCTTCTGCATTACCAAGGTTGTCAGGATGGACGTATTCCTGGTAACAAACCCGCGTACTCTCCCCGTGTCAGTCAACCGATTGGGAGGTACCAAACCTCAGGAACAATGGGGAGTCGGACAACTTGGTACTTGGGATGCATGCGTGACATTTCATAAGTGAGGTCCGCATATTTGCCATGTAAAACCTTCAATCTTGTCAATCCAATTGGTGTCAAAGGGACAGAAAAATTCAATTATATCAATGATTTCATTGGATTTATCGAACAGGACAAGGTCAGGTGTGTTGGCTTGGACAGGTCTGAGGCTGTATACGGGCCTATACTAAAGAACTACTGCTACTACTACTACTACTATATTACCAGAATGTCATGTCCGTTTTTCATGTACAATAATTTTGAAGCTATTCCAAGGAAAACGTAACACGATAGGTTGGAATGAAAATATTAAACAGTTAAGATTTACAGGTTTACATGCATGATATTATCAAAGACGTTTGCAGAGACATGTTTGTTTACTGTGATCATGTTTGTCAAGCATGGAATGGGCGAATCTATTGACTGTTAGGTACAAGCGAGGCAGATATTCTCACCTTGATTGTTAATGATGAGGCGTGTCGCATTCACTGTCAAGTCCCCAATAGGGCCCTTTTGAATGGACTCACGCAATTCTGAAACTGCCTTCTCGGAGTTTTGTCCCTTTGGAAAGATAAGGGTGAAGTGGACGGTCACTAAGTTGTCACTACTCTTGCTGTAAAATATAATTTGAAAAACGATTTGAAGGATTCCATGATATCACACAAATAAAATTATGCTGGATTCCGGGCTACTACCATTATGAAAAACATATTAGATTCCTCGGTATAAAACGTATAAAAATATTAAGAATCAATGAACACGAACAGTTACATTACACGTGGAACAATTGGGTAAAAACAGTATTGCATTTACGAAAACGTTTCTTGGTATCTAAGCTTCTTGTTATACTTCTTGTTATATATATATATATATATATATATATATATATATATATATATATATATATATATATATATATATATATAACAAGACATAACATATATATATATTAAAGGCATACAAGTGAGTGTGGTTGCATGCCGCTTTTAGCAATGTTCCAGCGCGGGGCACGAGAAATGGGCTTCACACATCGTACCCACATTAGGAATCGATCGCGTGTCTTCGGCGTGACGAGCGAACGCTTTAACCCACCGTCCCGAAAGGTATTAACCCTATACGTGTGTAAGTTGGGTTTAGCACCGTTTTGAAAATTGTTACGTCTATCTCAACACGTCAGCTCGAATTGGAGGAAATCGCAAATTGGCGTTGATCGCAAATGTTTACCAACTTTATGAAAGACACATGCAAAGGAATGGTTCTGACAAACCCTGGATCACAATCGGTGACAATCGAGGATTCGAACCCCTTAGGGACGCAATTCTGCACAGCCAACTGCTCCGACTTAGATCACGTGACCCTGAATGTTAATACTGTAAACATATCTCAAGCTTGAGTCAATTCAAGCAAACGTTTTGTAAGGGTTTTTCTTTGGTAAAAAGTGTTGTCGTCTCACCTGAACATTTCCACGTTGACATTGACGGTCACGTTTTGCGAACTGAAGAATAGTTGTATCTGAAGAACAAGATGAGAATGTGTTTATCTAATCTAGATTTAACTTACATTGCAGCTTAATGCAAAATTAATCCTTTACTGAAATATATACTACTTTCTTTATAAAATCTATAAAGGTTTTAAATGTATGATGTCTACATTATAATTGTACATGTATATTAGTTTACTGTTGCTGTTTAGTAGTTTATATTCGCATTCAGCAATATTCCAAGGGCCCTTAAATCATCGCGTATGGACCAGACAAACCAGTGATGGATATGAAGAACAGTGATCATCCTCTTCGGGGTACAATGACATTCAATCCACCATGGCACCGAGACTGAATACCCGATTCGTTATGTCTTCTCTTAAGACTCTAATCGGGAAACGTCACTGGGTATATTGAGATATTGAAATGTTTTCTAGCTGACGAAATACATTAACATCGTTATTAAGACGTTACGTACATTGTTTGCCATTTCTTGTACCAGTGCCCCGAACAAAAAAGATGTCTGGACGGCATAGTCTTGACTCCATGTTCTGTTCAATACATAGGATCCTGTCCAAATGTCAGCTGTCGGGGACACAGACAAGTACATGTAACAAATACGTCCAAATACATGTATGTGTATGTACACCATAACAATTGCCACTGTTTTCACTGAAATGTCTTCCAATGCGGTAAATGAAGGATACCAACTTACACCCTACTGCGAATGCTTCATGGATGATGTTTTGTCATGCTTTGTTTAGTAATAATAATAATTGTATAATTTTCATCATTTAATAATACCACTAATTCTATTAATTAACAATTAAATCTTATTATAAACTACATTTGAAACAATAACTTTTAACATTTGAATAAATCTGGTAAAGTGGTAACTCAATAAATGCATAACAATATGATGATTATTTTCATGTGTACATTTGTAAATATACAGTATGAACACCAATGAAAGAAATCCAAATCACCTATGGTTATTTTGAAAGGCAGCTCAACGCTGATTTCCCCCGACTTTCCCGCCAAAGTGATCGTCGTCAACACGGTTCTATCTCCATACAATCCTTCGACAACTTTCAGGATTCCGTCAGGCATGATCTCCAGCTTCAATTCTGGTTTGCCATGCAATGAAAGTTTGAACAATATCAGTATGCAGGATATAAATATACATAAACATTGCCCCTGGAAACCATGACACCATCTCGATTTACCATAGAAAATCCTTAAAAGAAAATATGTTTAGTTTTCACATCAGTACATCCCTACTCTATTATAAAAGAACAAACATTGCATTTATCCAGTTCTACAGAAAGACAATATATACAAGTTGTACGTGACCTACAAACAACATTAAACACAAGGTCGCATCTTACGCACAGACAACACTGTACACAAGGTAACATCGTACTCTTGGCAACGCTGTATACACGGTCACATCGTACTCATACTACAAAAGTTTATACAAGGTCACATCTTACCCGTCACTCACTGACAATACTGTATAAAAGGATAAAGGGTCATATCTTATCTGTGCAAAACACTATACAAGGTAGCATCTTACTCATGACATCACTGTATGAAAGGTAACATCTTACCCATAATAGCAGTGTATACAAGGTCACATCTTACCCATACAAAACACTGTATACAAAGTTGTAACTTACCCACTGACAACACTGTATACAAGGTACCATTGTACCCACACAAAGCACTGTATACATGGTAACATCCTACCCATGAAAAACAATGTATACAAGGTAAATTCTTAAACATAATTACACTGTATACAGGGTCACACCTTAACCACGACAGCACTGCATACAAAGTCACATCTTACCCGTAACAACCCTGCATACAAGGTTGCTTCTTACGCACTGACAACACCGTATTCAAGGTAACATCTTACCCATAACAACACCGTTTACAAGGTCGAATCTTACATCTAACAACACGGTATACAAGGTCGCATCTGACCTAAGACAACACTGTATAAAAGGTCGCATCTTACGCACAGACAACACTCCACACAAGGTCACATCTTACCCATACAAAACACGGTATACAAGGTCACATCTCACCCATGACAACACTGTATACAAGGCCGCACCTTACGCACAGACAACACTGCATACAAGGTCACATGTTGCATATAACAACACTGTATACAAGGTCGCATCTTACTCACTGACAACACTGCATACAAGGTCATATCTTAGCCATGACAACACTGTTTACAAGGTCACATCTTACATACTGACAACACTGCATACAAGGTGCATAGAAATGAGTTATCTCACGTGGTCAGTAAAGGTGTTCACACATCAACTCTGACAAAAAGTCAATATAAAACAACAGTTTGACATACTGAAGCAACTCGAGGTGCTGCAGGTCAGATGGGGGTATCAACTGAAGTTTGGAGGACGAAAATATGATATTTGTGCATCCCAAAGGCGTGAGACAAATAGACAAGATTAAACCCCACAGCCCCAACGAGTGAGTGGACGCCGGGTAGGGCGACAGGATACAGGCTACTTCTGTGCAGTGCTGTGCTTCTGTTCGTGGTAATTGCAGGATCTAGTACAGCAACTTGGATCCAAGATCTGCGTCCATCATTAATTCCGCCACAAACGCAGTTTCCAACAGGTGAGATCTGTGACTTATATTATCGACGAGAAACAATGTTTACATGTCGAAAAAAGGACACTCCAATCATGAATCGCATTCACCCGTTTGTACCCACGTTGTTACACAGATCCGGCGACATTGAACTAAACCCTGTAGTGAACTAGGCGACCTCAAGAAGGCTATAATTAATCAAATCAAGGAATCAGAGGACAGGTTATCCAAAGATATAAGTTCAATTAAGGATGTGATCAGATCCATGAAAAGGGATATCAGTGATTTGAAGTCAGATGTCAGTTCAACTAAAGAACAGCATGACATACTCAGGTTAGACGTAGATTCACTATTTGAGAAAAGCGAGCTGATGGAAAGTTATTTTTTATGATTTAGAATCCAAGGTAGAAAACAAAGAACGCAGAAACAGGAGAAATAATATAATAATATATGGAGTGCCTAAATCACAACATGAATCAGATATGGCGTGTAAGGAGAAAGTACTGGAAGTACTGAATAGTGCCAGAGAGGTAGAGAAGAAATGTCCCCCACTCAATTCCAAAGAATTACGTGCACATCGTATTTCGACGAAGAACTCTAATAAACCTCAACCTCTTATCGTGAAGATGCTACACTGGGACGACAAAATGCATGCCGTATCAATTAGGAGTGACCTTAAAAATAAAGGATATGGCATCTTTAATGACTTGACTTTGAATCAGAGGCAGGAATTACTAAAATGCAGAACAGATGAACCACACACACGGTTTTACTACAAAGGAGGGAAATTAGTAAGGGAACCAAAGATGGGAGAGATGCCAGTAAAGACGAAGCTGCACAGGAATGCATATCTGGAGGCACACGGAGAGAAAGAAGGCAACAGGATGGACGGAGGCGTAATTAAGGATGAGAGACGGGATACGCGCTCGAGGTCACAGAGGCCAGCAGTTAGGGAGACAGAGATAAGGGTGTGGCCAGGGCCAAAACACTAAATTTACTGCCCATCAAGAGAACCCATCAAGTTAGAGAAGCAACAGTAATAACGGCTTTATTAACTTTCTCTTCTGGAATGTTAGGGAGAGATTTTGATAATTCCTTGCTCGGCTGTCAATCTGACGTACAATATGCATGTGCATATATTCATCCAGAGGGATCTCGCTGGTATAACATATTATCTGTTGATTGTAAAAATGGCATCACTATATTTCAGAACAGTTTGTTGGACATTTTATCAGAATTAAGAGATTTTGTAGAAGATGACATTTAGGAGATAAACATACTGTGTTTTTAATGTACAGCTAGGTTGCCTGTAGATTTAACCGCGCTAAATTGAATTTGGAACCGAACAAAATATGGCGCTGTATATACTCAAGCAGTTTGTTTACACCGTAATACTTCACTCGAACATATGACAGGCATTGAAAGCATATAAGCACGGCAACTTGGTAAGCTAACATGAGGCGAGCATCCCTAAAGAAAACAAGCAAGCTTTGCAAGGCTTTCGCTCTACATCGCACGTCACCATTATGACGTCAAATCGCTCATTGTGACGCAAAGAAATGACGTCACAGTCGTATATAGAAAAGCGCCAAAATTCCAAGCTCTTTGTTGTCTCCAAAACGTAAATACATTTCCCTTTGTAGATTTCTATCGTGTTATTTGCATGAAATGTATTGCCACACATCCTTTTAATATTGTAGTAACCGCATATGTGCATTTTGTCACCTGTAATTGTAGATAAAAGTATTTAAATATGCCTACCGACAATGACTGAAAATTAGCTTCCGCGGTGATGCGGTCGTCAAACCAGCTGTTTCAATCAGAGGGGGTTTATTGTGATTTAATAGCCTCTGAGTGACCAATCAGAATCGAGTAAATTCCAAATTAATGGTAGAATATTGAATATATGGAAGGGCTGGGGCAACGTAACTGAAGCTGGGATTTTATGTGCGATTATTTTAGTTTCAATGGTTTCTCAAGTGATAAGAATATAAACAACTTTGGTAAATGTTTGTTAGAGTTGTGCTCGTTATGCAACATTCATGACATGAACGGAAGATCAGGAACTGACCGCAAAATTTGGGGATGATACATTCATTCGTCAAAATGGGGCAAGTGTAATAGATTATATAATTGCATCTGCGGCAGTGTTTGAGTTTGCCAATGGCTTTTCTATCCAATCACGAGCAGAATCACCTCATCTCCCGCTCACCCTGAAGCTAAAAGCTAGTGAAGTCTGCGAAAATGTAAATGACACTGGTATTAATCACAATTCATTTAGATTTAAATGGGACTCTAAAAATAATATTTAGGGAAAATATGCTGTCCGATCATATACAAGAATTACTTGATAAGTCTGTTGATATGATTTTTAATGACACTGATGGAAGTATAGCGTGTATTCCAGATGCATTATGTCGCGGCAAATGATGTGAAGAAGCCAGCTGGAAGAAGTAAGTACAATAATGAATGGTTTGATACTGAATGTGAACTGTTGAAACGTAAAATATGTAGAGCATTGAATAGGATTAGAAAATATAAGGATAGCTACACTACACAAATACAATGCTGTATGCAGGCAAGAACGGAATGAATATTTTGAACACAAAAAGCAATTTATGGAGAATGACATTAAGAAATCAAAGAATTCCTGGTCTGTGATTTAAAAAAATATTTTCAAAGGAATTATGTTCAAAATAATATTACGATTGCTGACTTTTTTGCACATTTTAGAGATTTGTTTCCTGTTGAGCAAACATCAACTGTTCCGGACGACTTTCCGAGTATTTTACAAGATGACTGTACCAATGATAATGTCACTAAAGATAATCTAGAGGATATTCTCAATATGCCTATAACAAAAGGGGAAATATTAAACAGCATCCATCTTTTAAGATGCAACAAATCTCCAGGAAATATAGATGACACCAGTTCTGAATTATTTATACATTCGGCTGATGCACTTGTCCCATACCTAAAAGTGTTATTTAATGTGATATTTGAAGAGGGATACTTCCTGGAAACATGGTCTATTGGTATTTTAATCCCGCTTCATAAAGCAGGTGCTTCTAATGATGTCAACTACTACAGAGGGATAACTCTCTTGTCTATCTTCAGTAAAATATTTACTTTTATTATTAACAAGAGGCTTGTGTGTTAGGCCAATACCAGGGATAAAATTTCGGAATCGCAAGGTGAATTTAGGGAAGGATATTCAACAGTTGATAATGTCTTTATATGGCAATCTCTGATATAGCGCTATATCAACAAAAAAGGGGGGAAGTTTTATAGATTATTTGTTGACTGCTCATTTGCAGGTGATATTATCATGTTCTCAAGCACAGCTGGTGACTTGCAAAAGCAAATTGATGTCTTAGAAAATTACTGTGATACATGGAAACTCACTGTTAATAGAGTCAAAACCAAAATTATTGTATTCAAAAATAGTTGCAAACTTGCCAAAAATGAAAATTGGTCCTTTAAAGGTGAAAGTTTGAATGTGACTACACACTATAAATATTTGGGTGTTTATTTCAGTAACAGTCTAAATTGGTCGATTCATGTATAGTCTGGAAGTTAATTTAAGGTACCGACGTTTACTACAATATCTGAAAAACTATTGGACCTACTCCAGACAAAGTTGGTATGAGAAGTCATACATAACTGGATATTACATTTAAAGACAATCGGTGCATGAAAAAAAAATCTGTCTATTTAGCTATCACTATATTTCATCAACAACCAGACCTGTTCGTCACGGGTGGAACGAGCATTCATTGTAACAGCCATCTGCATAATGCTACCCCTGCGTCACAGGGCCATATGACACAGTTGAACCAATCAACTCAACTCGAAGGTTGCACGGGAATCACGCACGCACGAATACGGTGTTAGCGTTGGGCGTCTCAAGCAGTTATTCAATAATATTTATCCAATTATTTTGCATTCTTTTTCAGGTCAGTGTTATTGACTTAAATGTATCATTCCTTGCCACATTATTATATTTCATGCATCATGTTATTAGGTGCAATATATCATACGTAATTATTCATTTAGACAAATCATTGCTTTATGGTTTCGAAGAAAATGTTTTAATATTTTCGTAGATGATTCGAGAGCCAAGAATTGCACAAAGTGGACAAGATCCGATAACGACATTTACTACAAAGCACGAACCTGAAATTCGTAGACGATTCCTATAAATTCTTTGATAAACAATTTTTTTCTCACGAATCCCACGAACTACAAGAATGTTTGGGAATCGAATGAGATATATTTAAGATTCTTAAGAAATGATCAAGAATCTGTACGAGTATGTAAGAATTCATATCAGTGGTAATTCGGGCTATTACTTGTAGTGAAATGGGGTATATGTATTGCACTATTCTTGGTCCTATGAAATGCCCTCGTCGTCAGATTCAGAGTCTGTGCTGTCACCTAAATGAACAACAACAGACTGGACAGTATCTGGTCGGATATAGTCTTGTTTCCGATACTCTTCCTCAACTGTGATAACATGTTGGACACAGTTTGCCCAACGTACATCTGTAATTTCTCCCATCCCTTTCAAGACAATCTGATTGACGTCGGCAAGCTTGAAGGTCTTATTTTACCGTTCGACCATATTTGCTCATTCAGCCTTCCGCTCTGTAAGGTAAGTTACCCTTTCCCTGATTTTTCAGTGTTTTTGTGTTTGACTTGATGACATCCCTCATTTTGGAAAATTCAAATGAATCGGAAAGTGAGAAGCCTCAATCTTTGCGTTTTAAGTGACGATCTAAACTGCCCCTGAATCCAATGAGTGAGCGTGGCTCGTACTCGGAACCATCCTGTTTCCTAATGAAAAAGTTCGTCTTATGTTCAGTGGGAAGGATAACGTCAATTGGGCGTTGCTCATTCAGCCTTTCTGAAAGAAACTGTTTGACAACTCGCATGTTGAGCATAGTTTTTTTTATAGTGTTTGCATAATTTTTCATTTTCTGCCAGAAATTTGTCAATGTCGCCATCATGTACATTTACAAATCTTTCTGCTTGTTTTTGAACATTAGGGATGTTATTCGGGCCATCCAAGAAATCGTTATTCATCAAAGGATCCAAAAATTATTTTATTTAGACCAAAATGTTGTGGCAGCCATTGAAGTCACGGTTTCAGGAATCACGCGCAGCCTATAACGAGGGACTTGTCGCTCTCCCATGTCAGATTGCACCAGAAAGACGTCGAAACTGTTCAATGGCTGTATTATGTTCTCTACTCTTCCAATGTTCCGGTAATCTTCACAAGAACGTTCACTTTTATCGGGTACAATAATGTCGCCATTGTTGTTTACATGCACGTATAGCAGACGATTTATTCAATCAAATTTAATCTGCAAATCTTAATTAGTTTTTTGTTTCGTGTATTCAATTATCGTAAACAACATGTGTGAACGATCACATCTTGCCTCCAAAATCAACATTATATAAAAGATCAAATCTTATCTGCGAACGCAACATTATATACAAGGTCACATGTTCCCCCTTGACAACACAATTTACAAGGTCACATTGTTCCCCCCTGATAACATTAATATATATAATATACAAGGCCATGTCTTGAGAACACGTTATACTGAAGTCAGTCTGTTACCCATGTGGACACAACATGCATGGATACAGTCTTTTAATGCATTTTGAAGGTTGATTTAAGAATTGAACATCAGTTTGGATGGGTAAAATTATAAAATGGTAAAATGGTTAAACGAGTCGAGGTCAACTTTCAAGCGCGGATTTATATACGAGGTCACATAAGTTTGTAAAGAGGTGCATTTCGAGTCGAACGGGAGCATCTATTAGAATGAAATATTTACACTTACTGCTGATGAAAATGAAGTTTTTGGAACAGTTATAGAAAACACCCCGACGCAGGAACCCTTCCATGGCACTAGCAACTTGGGAATATCCCTAATTTATGAATGTGTTGCTTGTGTTTGGGTAATCGGAAACCAATTCGGACGACGTTGAATAGACTGGTGGGATTGAATGGAGTGTTCTGAAAATTTTGTGTTCTGTGATAATTTTCAACGTCAGGCTGTGTTACATTTGGAGTGTGGGATTTGTCGTGTGTGCTGTCATACTTTGCTTAGCTGGTGTTTCTTGTCACCTGAGATGGACCTACTGCATGAGCTGATGCCTGCTTCATTTCTGTGCCCCTTCCTTCTTAGAATGCACGGAGAAGGTCGTCTAACTCTGTTCTCGTCTCCAGTGGTCTCGTAAAACAGGTAGGCAAGTTGTTTGGGTTTTGTTTTTTGGGGTTTTTTTTAATTTAAGATTCTTTCCCTTCCTTTTCATGTCATGATTTCTTAAAATCTTGGATTTATTTCCAGATACGATAGTGAATTGGGTTTTAGTTTGGGATTAACCAGGAGCATTCGCTTTGATCTGTGTCGGCGCCCACATCTGAGCAGGGTACGACATTGTTTTCATTCGCAATTGTCTTGGTGCTAGATTCCTGTCATTTGCGAAAACAAGCATCTAAGTGAATATCGCTCAATAAATCAATTTCATTCACCTCCGTAATTTTACATAATTCATTGTCTTCACTTGCGTTATATTCAGTATTGATAGATAGCCATTCCATATCCAAATCACCGTAAGGACAATCCATTTTGTTTCATCTAGCAGCTGAACGACATCTAGTTGCTAGACCAAAGTATTTATTTATTTTTAAGACGGATGAAATGTTACCAGACCAGGCAAAAATACTAAGTTAATCATATTGCTGATAAATGCAAGGATTAAAAAGAAAGTAGAAAAACTTGTTGATTGTAAACACCGATCGAGAATTCGGGGAAACTCCGGAATGTAGTTCCGGCAAATGTTCACACGATCAATTTCACACAAGAAATGTTCACATCGTGTGAACATTTTTTGTCCGTTCACAGGTGTGTGAACTCCAAATATCAGATCACGTGACTATCCATTCGGCCAATCAGCATGAAAGAAGCAGTGTAAACTTTAAAGTATGAACTTATACAGAAATAGTCATTATATGAACATGACAATGATTATTGTGGACAACGACTTCTTTGTTATCGTTACACAACGTGTCGGGGCTTCTGACCAACACCAACCTCTTATTTGTATATCAACTTTAATCTTGTTACAACCAGCTTCACATATATTTATTTATTTATAACTGGTTTCATTTATTTGTGTGTGTGCGTCCGTAATGGCATGCTTGCCTACGTGCATGGTTGAGCATTATGAATGTGTCATGGTCTCCCACCCTGTCATTCACCAATGAAAGAGCAAGAAGTAGTCCTTAAACGTTGTACAACACGTGTATGTATAATAAAGAAGTCGCTTCCATAATAACCTATGTCATGCACAGAGAAGGCCAAATCTTACCCGATGGGAATACGAAGGTGAGATCCGATATGTCATATCCTTTGCTTATCCGGCAAGTTATTTTACCGACAGGATTTCCAATTTGTTGATAATTGACGTAAATCTGTCTTTTGATGTCACAGCTCAAGATTAAAACTACCATTTTGACTGAGACAACAGTTGTCAAACTCGGGATACCATCATCTTTGATCTGCAAAATAAAATAGAAATGTCGGCGTAATAGTAATAAAAAGTTGGGAATGAAAACATGGCGGCTTCGTTATACATTCAACCTCCATCTACATATATTTCAACCCGTTCAGTCTGACTGCATACCCTGATATTGCAACGTGTTTAATTGATGTTTTGTAGAATAGTTGAGTAAGAGTACTTCATTCACTGACATGTTATGGGAAATATCACGAGATCAATAATGCAAATAACAATGCAAGAATTCAATGCCGAGGGAGGACAAGTGAGAAGACGTGCAATGTACATGTATAAAGTTTTACAACATTCATTTTAATTAAAGGTAATTTCATTAAATAAATGACTCACAAAGTAATAATAAAAGCTGATATAAGTTCAAGTGTATAATTACCTCAATGTCCACTGATATGTCCTCCTCGTTCCCGTCCATTAAAGTAATATTCAGTTGTCCACTGTCCGGTATAATCATTACTTGAGGATGATCGACTACCAAAGAAATAAAAAAAGAAAACTGCAACATTACATATACAATATTCTGGAGAATGTTCATAAAACTGTCTTAGAGCTCAATTAGCGTTAGTTTAAGTAAACGTTTACTTTCGTTGCTTTTCTTTTCGTGGCTCCTATTTCATACGAATGCAGCTCCAAGAGTTCAATGTACAGAGACGCGTAAGAGTCACAACGATAAGAGTGAAAATGATTTAATGACATTTTAAACAACATTTCACTTATATCAGGCTTGCATAAATATTATAACGTCATAGTGTTAGAGTGAGTGAGTATGGTTTTACGCCGCTTTTAGCAATATTCCAGCAATATCAAGGCGGGAGACACCAGAAATGGGCTTCACACATTGTACCCATATCGGGAATCGAACCCGGGTCTTTGGCGTGACGAGCGAACGCTTTAACCACGAGGCTACCCGAGCGGTACTGGGTTTTACAAGCTAAACTTGTGTCTGAAGACCTCGACCTTCGGTCTTTGATTGTACAAGCCAATTCCACCAGTAACTTCCCGTACATGCCACCACTGAATGAAAACCAGAACTTTCAGTGGTATACAGAAATTACCTTTTAGACTGTAGCTCACAGTGTCGTTATCCAAAACGCCGAAGACCCCCGAAACATTGATAAGGAATGGGCCGACCTCTTCAGCCAAGTTCACGACGTAGGTCTTTGTCGTTTTGCTCACTTCTGGAGCAGTGTTAAATGTGACACTGAATACTATTGAAGCACTTCTTGGATGCATGTCATTTTCCTTGGCAATCAATGTGACCTAAAATGGAACAAAAATTAAGACTTCACTATTTCGAAGACATAATGAAACTGACAAAGTATATTAGTACATGTGTAACCTGAACGTCATTTTCAGAATTACGTAATATTTAACGTTTCGTTCAGAACTATGTAGTGATGGCACAAGGTGTTTGCTAAATGTTGAGCGTATCCTGCCCTACTGGATTTTACCGATACGGATTTCGTTTAGGAAATAACAATATGTTTAAACCAAGCTTGCCTCTGTTTTATTGAGTTTTGGTACGCTCCCCGTATGTTTACCCCTTAGTTTCACCATGGCGAACCATTTCCCCTTGATTTTGGACCCAAGCGAAGCAAAGGTCGCTTCCGTGTCACCTCAAACGTTAAAGATGGTACTTGTTGGCGGCGTAGTATTTCAGTGTGCTAGCATTATAGAACCGGCATGAGTCTAGGCGAGTACAATCAGACCACCCCACCCCACCAAACCCAACACACACGTGGATACGCGTGGTGATATAAATTCAATAATTTGGAACGCGTTAGTTAGTTAATTATTCATAGAGGAATTCTGCCTAGAACGCTTTGTTTGTTTGTTTGTTTGTTATCTAACGCCGCACTCAGCAATATTCCAGCTATATGACGGCGGTCTGTAAATAATCGAGTCTGGACCAGACAATCCAGTAATTGACATCATGAACATCGATCCACACAATTGGGAGCGATGACGTGCATCAACCAAGTCAGCGAGCCTGACCACCCGATCCCGTTAGTCGCCTTTTACGACAAGCATAGTCACCTTTTACGGCCTAGAACGCAACACAGCTACATAGACACACTATATTAGGTGTCATAAGTAAATATATTTCTCGCATAAACTTTTCACTGACCACCTTCGTGGTCTAGTGGATAGAGCCCGGGGAGCAATTGTGCCAAAAGACGTTAAAAGATGGTACTTGTTGGTAGGTTATTGATGCAGATTATAGATGCACTGCAAAAGTCATGTATTTATTACGTTTTATATTTGTATTGTTTAGTAAATTACAAAGGTAAACATAACTATTTCTAAGGAGTAATTGAGTGATTATTATTTAACACCGCATCCGCACACGTGTAGCTAATCCTCGCAAGGATTCTGGCTCAAATTCAACTGAGTCAAGTGGAATTGGGGGTACCGTTATTTTGAGACCTGTTGAACTTCTCTTATTGGTGAAATTCACTCACATGAATTCTATTCACTTTTCTAAGCATGGTTACATGTGTATAATTGTTTATATTGTGAACTGATCAATATGTATATTTAATATTTGACAAGAGCTTGATTTCATGGTACCACGGCTACCATGATTATTTACAATAACTCGTCTGCGAACGTCTGCACGTGCATGTATATTTGTATGTGCGATGTGCTTGTGTAATATTCTATTTGGCATTATATTCCCCAATAATCCATGGGTTAGTGGAAGGAGGGGAAGAAGGGGACAGATCTGTACACCACTAGTATGTTAATGTATTGATACTTCTCCCGTCTGTCATACCTGTACAGACCCTGAAACAAATTTATCCAATACAGCTCATGCAAGTCTATAATAATTGGCATGTCTAGATCACAGTAGTTCTTTAAATGAAGGGAGTCTCTGGGCTCCTTTCAATTATATTATATAAGACAATTTATGAAGTTGTGGTTTTCTGTAAAATATGTTAATCTTAGAGACAAGATGTGAGTCTAATTATTCTCCAGAGCTCCAGATATGTTGCGTATTTGCGTAAAATGCACAAACTATATATGTAAATCACCATGGAGTTGCTTACGTAAAGATACATATGGAGCAATTAAATAAGCCAACAGTATTACAACATTGTGCGTCATTACCAAATGTAGCTTTTTCAGCTTACGTACAAACGGTTTTTTCCAGGTCTTTTATTAATGACTAAATCAGGGATCATGTATGCCAGAACCCTTCTGTAGTGAATAATGCACAGATGTGCAACATCTCGCTCATTGTGACGTAGACATGTGTCACTGTTATGACGTTATACAACAGACGAACAAAGTCTTGCTAATCAACTCTTCAAACTTTAAACAGCGAGAAGTGTAATTATTTTCAAAAAGGTCCACTCATCGGTTTACATAACACAAGAGACTGGAAGAGTGCAATAATATATTGAATACCTAAACACAACTACCAATACCCAATGCGAATGATAACACATGAGACGTGAACACATTTGAAGCATTACAAATTTACAAATATTTCCCCACTTAAGGCAGTGTCCATATTTCAAACCCTTGTTAACTTAGAAAGGTGTCGGACACATCAGCATCTGTTACACTCTAAAACCACACTGGAAATACTCTTTGATCAAGTATTTACTGGTGTATGAAGTTTTAAATTCATGAGGGGCGGTCGGGTAGCCTAGTGGTTAAAGCGTTCGCTCGTCACGCCGAAGACCCGGGTTCGATTCCCGACATGGGTACAATGAGTGAAGCCCATTTATGGTGTCCCCGGCGTGATATTGCTGGAATATTGCTAAAATCGGCGTAAAACCATACTCACTCACTCACTTTAAATTCATGCATGGACATGTCTGCAAATCCGGCCATAGCAACCAATACAATGGTGCTTATGCACACGGCAATATACGATGATCATGTGTTTCAAAGGTGTAGCTTCATATGGAATACACGCCCAATGTTAGTTCATATAACATTCGCACATCCGGTTATTTCATGCATTGCCTACTATATTTGCGTTTGTTTCAATGGTGTAAAATCCTGCTTTTCGTCCTGTGATTACCAAACATACGGAGATATTAACACAGGAAATTAGACTTGTATCTTACTTTTGAAACTGGTTTGTCTGGAAAGTTCAAATTGTTGATTGTTGAGTTGACGTGGATACAGGTTTGCCACAGCCGGTAGTCGAGGTTGAGACAAAACAGATTTACGACCTCTTCTTCAACGATCTCGAACTCGATGGAATCGTCCTTGTCGTAACAGTAGGAGCTTGTATTGGTATAGTACATGTCGAGACACACTATAGGCTTCTTTCTGTTTCGCATGTCGAGCTTGTAAGTGAGGGGGTGGACTCCTGGCTTACACTGTGGGGCTGTAGACCCTGTAACCCAGACATTTCGCATTTTTATTTAATTCATTTCCATGACAACTACTGTAACGACAGAACCACCTGCAAATACGGATACAGATTATGTTAAGTTCCCTGGTAATCGGGGTCTCTTTCCTGAGTGGCGGGTGCTACCGGTAGGGCAGGGCACGTGGTGTCATCACAGATTTTCACTGATCCGTTCACATAATTTTCCGCACTATTTTGCCTTTTACTTTTGGAATCTATGTCGTTGGTTAATCGAGACTGGTTATTCTCTGGCGTTCATGTTATATATTTTTACTTGTTTATTACAGTGTATTGTGAAATAATTACATGAGTGAGTTCTTGAATGTTTTGTTGTTTATAGCCAGCAGTAACAGACTTTTTCAGCAAATGCACACTGTTTCTACCAGCTTTCCAGCATACATTGTTTCTACCGATTGGGCTATTGCCTGTATAAGCCTGGAGTGGGTAAAGCACGGCTCATCAGTGGTAGCATCGAATCTAGACGTCAGGATGCGCTATATGTCAGTCTTCCCATGCTTGTCGAAAGAGGCGACTAACGGGATCGGAGGTCAGACTCGCTGACTTGGTTGATGCATGTCATTGTGTCCCATTGCTGTTGCGTAGATCGATGCTCATGATGTCTCTGTATTGTCTGGATCAGACAAGATTCTTTACAGAGCACCGTCATATGGCTGGAATATTACTGAGCGCGGAATTAAACAAAATACAAGATAAAAATCAGACAGTCACAGCTAAGCGTTATCTTCGTGGCCAGTCATCATATTGTTTTAAGGATCAAGAACCACCCAATCCGTTTTCAGTGTTTTGATTTGTACACGTACATTTAGAACCTCTAAGACTTACACGTCACTGTTCGCACAAAGGATTAGCGTTCTCATATAAAGGGGTTTAACATTGTTGATTTGATGTATGCATTGACATAATTTGAATTGGCATTAAAATATACACATAAGAAAGTCGTCAACAATTCATCATACAGATCTTTATCTGAATACCTGAGCTGTCTGTGAGGCTCACACACTTGTCGTACACGCAATGGTCGTTGTTTCCACATTTCTGCCCTCCACACCTGATGCTGTATTCACACCGAGAGCCTGGAAGGGAATGATTCATTGATACAGTGTAACCACGGGTTGAGTGAATGAGTGAGTGAGTGAGTTGGGGTTAACGCCGCTTTTAACAGTATTCCAGTTATATCACGGCGTGTCAGCTTAATGTGGGAGGAAAGCCCGAAGTGATGCAGGTCTCAGACGTTTACCACTTCGTTGAAACCCACGAGCACGGGTATGGTGCTGACAAACCTAGAAACATAATCGGGGCAAACCGGGATTCGAACCCACAATCATAGGTTTCTGGCGTGCCCAAGGGACGCAACTCTGCACAGCGAATCGCGGCGCCTTAGACGACTGGGCCACCCGTGCCCCCTTACCACGGGTTGAGGTTGGAACAATCCGCGATAGTTGCGATGACATTGAGTTATTATGACAACGATAGGTCATCTTGGTATAAGGCCTATCCCCACGACCATCCCTCCCTCAGTATATTCCCCTTGCCTTCGGCCCCTGGTCTATCCCTCCAACCAACACCCCCTATCGAAAAGGTAAACATTTTATCATTTTAACATTACATAATATACTGTGATCACAATTGATAATATCATTGATAACGTATCAATTGTTACCATATTAAAGTATTACATATTTAAGTATGAAATAAAGTGTCATTGATAATTTTCAATTTTCAATAAGAAATAATAAAACGTGAAAATGTTTACCAATTATTTAGGTGACGGTGGGGAGGGAGGGAGTTGACATTGACCTGGTTGGATTGTGGAGAAGGGAGTTGGAAGTGTAGCCTTGACCGTTATCTTAAGGTCAACTCTTCTATCTTTCCACATGACCGTACCGTCTCTACTACATGGAGTTGTTTCCGATACTACAATGATTATTTGAACCATTTCATAACTACTAGCGCACTACTGCTGCTGAAACTACTACTTTTGCTGTTGTTGTTCTTCCTGCTACTAGTACTGGTTCTGATTCTGTTGTTGCTCCTGCTGCTAGTACTGGTACTGCTTCTGTTGTTGCTCCTGCTGCTAGTACTGGTTCTGATTCTGTTGTTTTTCCTGCTACTCGTAATAGTACTGCTTCTGTTGTTGCTCCTGCTACTATTAATAGTACTGCTTCTGTTGATGCTCCTGGTACTAGTAATAGTACTGCTTCTGTTGTTGCTCCCGCTACTAGTAATAGTACTGCTTCTGTTGTTGCTCCTGCTACTAGTAATAGTACTGCTTCTGTTGTTGCTCCTGCTGTTAGTACTGGTACTGCTTCTGTTGTTGCTCCTGATACTAGTAATAGTACTGCTTCTGTTGTTGCTCCTGCTGCTAGTACTGGTACTGCTTCTGTTGTTGCTCCTGCTGCTAGTAATAGTACTGCTTCTGTTGTTGCTCCTGCTGCTAGTAATAGTACTGCTTCTGTTGTTGCTCCTGCTACTACTACTGGTACTGCTTCTGTTGTTAACGTTGCTCCTGCTACTAGTAACAGTACTGCTTCTGTTGATGCTCCTGCTACTAGTAATAGTACTGCTTCTCTTGTCGCTCCTGCTACTAGTACTGGTACTGCTTCTGTTGTTGCTCCTGCTACTAGTAATAGTACTGCTTCTGTTGTTGCCCCTGCTATTATTAATAGTACTGCTTCTGTTGTTGCTCCCGCTACTAGTAATAGTACTGCTTCTGTTGTTGCTCCTGCTGCTAGTACTGGTATTGGTTCTGTTGTTGCTCCTGCTGTTAGTACTGGTTCTGATTCTGTTGTTGTTCCTGCTACTAGTAATAGTACTGCTTCTGTTGTTGCTCCCGCTACTAGTACCGGTACTATTTCTGTTAATGCTCCTGCTACTCGTAATAGTACTGCTTCTGTTGTTGCTCCTGCTACTAGTAATAGTACTGCTTCTGTTCTGTTACTATCATACTAGTAATAGTACTGCTTTTGTTGTTGCTCCTGCTACTAGTACATCTTCTGCTTCTACTTGCTGCTACAGCTAGTACTGGTACTGCTTCTGTTGTTGCTTGGGGGCACGGGTGGCCCAGTCGTCCCAGCGATTCGCTGTGCGTTGCGACCCCTGGACACGCCAGAAACCTATGATTGTTGGTTCGAATCCCGGTTCACCTCGATTATGTTTCTAGGTTCGTCAGCACCATACCCGTGCTTGTGGGTTTCACCGAAGTAGTAAACGTGTGAGACCTGAATCACTTCGGGCTTTCTTCCAACATTAAGCTGACACGCCGTAATATAACTGGAATAATGTTAAAAGCGGCGTTAAACCCAACTCACTCACTCACTCTGTCGTGCTTCTGCTACTAGTAATAGTACTGCTTCTATTGTTGCTCCTGCTGCTAGTAATAGTACTGCTCCTGTTGCTGCTCCTGCTACAACTACTACTATTACAATAATGTTACAACTACTACAACTACTGCTACAACTACCAATACTATACTGCTACTCCTACAACAACTACAACTACTACACATACTACTAATGCTACAAATACTACGACTACTGCTTCAACTACTACTAATACTAATACTGTTGCTACTACTTGCAGTACTACTACAAGTACAAGTACAACTACTACTACCACTTCTATTACCATAATTATAACTAAGTCTTTTATTATTACTACTACTACTTTTTCTACTACTCCTACAACTGCTACATTTATCACGACTACTATTACTGCCACCAGATCGTCTATTGCCATTAGGCTCCCGTCATTACATATAATCCACTTGAATCCAGTTCAAAATTACATACCTGTGAAGCTAGGTGTGCACACACAAACGGTATGCTCTATGTCCAGATCATTGCTACACTCCCAGTCCTCCAGTTCCCGACAAGTGCCATTGTTCAGACAGGTGTCGCTACTGCATAGGGGTTCAGGGGTTGTGAATATGGAATCATTCGAATCGGACTCCGTCGTTGACTGCGCCGTGATGACGCTAGCGTTGATGACAAACACCAACACTGCCAACCAAAGAGCTGAAGAGTTTGCTGGTTTCATCTTTCAGATCGTCATTGGCCTGCAAAGGATATATGAATGGTGAAATGTGCAGTTAAACGTCATGTTACTGTTATTTAAAAACATGTGTCTCTTTATGAATTAGATGATAAGTCTGCATGACGAAATTATGGTCCATTCATGTTCTATACCCTCCTTGAAGAACGCAACATATCATGATCATATAACTGTAACTGTAACAACACAGTAGAAATGCTAAATGCATGTTCCAGAGGTTTCAACTTCTTGTGTCAAACTATTATAATTGATCACGACCAATTGTGGTTCAGTCCAGAATAATGATGTTCCAGTGCATTATGTTTCAGCTTCAGCGAGGTATTTTTCCGGAGACACTAACGCGATTCCACTTTGCAGTATTTGAGGTGTTCAATATGACACTAAATATGCCTATTTGGTTGTGTTTGTTTGTTTGTTATGCTTATACAATCAGAAAACCATCACAGAAAATCGCATTTCATACAACAGTTATTAAATAGTTATTAAACAATCCGAAAACCATGCTTATGTTTCAAATCCCCATGCATCAATGTCACCAACACAGGGTCAGTTTAATTCAAATGGACAATAGGCAATTGTACAGGTTTCGAAATTCACAATTTTAACTCACCAGACATAATATAAACCTGGTAAAAGATGAGTACTACTTAATGACTTTTGAAATATTGCCATGAAACAACCTTTCTTAAAATTGGACCCTATATCCATTTCCTTACGAAACATTCATTTGTTCATTGTTAGCATCGTGTGACTCAGTACTTGCGATCTGGAGAAACTCACAGTCTTCTTGTACCAACCTTTCAGCAGATATCGGCGGGACCGTACATATTTTTCAAAAGCAGGAAATATCTTATTTTGAATTTACAAACGACATTTAAAGATGAATGAAAATAAAGGTAGAGTCATTGTCAGAACGCAGGGTCATACAGTAGGTTATATGTTCCTCTGTCAGGTGGACTTATGGTTCAGATGATGTGTTGTTGTGTCTGATGGTTGAAGGTTTAAGTGACGTGTTCATGATTATGTTATGTGGGCTCATGGCTAAGATTATACTACATTATCCACATATATCATGCATGCTCTATTACACAGTTTCACATCTGCTCTATTACATCAACAGTATCCCATGTTTCAAAGTTGCTCTATTGCATCCACAAAATCCGATGTTCCACAGTTGCTGTATTACTTCCACAATATCACATGTGTCGTATATGCTCTATTACATCAACAATATCACATGTTTCATATTTGCTCTATTACATCAACAATATCACATGTTTCACAGTTGCTGTATTACATCAACAATATCACATGTGTCGTATATGCTCTATTACATCAACAATATCACATGTTTCATATTTGCTCTATTACATCAATAATATCCAATGTTTCATATTTGCTCTATTACATCAACAATATCCCATGTTTCAAAGTTTCTGTATTACTTCCACAATATCCAATGTTTCATATTTGCTCTATTACATCCACAATATCCCATGTTTCACAGTTGCTGTATTACATCCACAATATCACATGTGTCGTATATGCTGTATTACATCAACATTATCCCATACGTCATAGTTGCTGTACTACACCCATAATATCACATGTGTCATAGTTGCTGTATTTATTCCACAATGTCACATGTGTCGTATATGCTCTATTACATCTACAATATCCAATGTTTCATATTTGCTCTATTACATCCACAATATCCCATGTGTCATAGTTGCTGTATTACATCCACAATATCAAATGTGTCATAGTTGCTATATTTCATCCACAATTGCAGTATTTTATCCACAATATCACATGTGTCGTATATGCTCTACTACATCCACAATATCCAATGTATCATAGTTGTTGTATTACATCAACATTATCCCATACGTCATAGTTGCTGTACTACACCCATAATATCCCATGTGTCATGTATGCTGTTTTACATCCTCAATATCCGGTGTGTCATAGTTGCTATACTACACCCACTATATCCTATGTGTCATATTTGCTGTACTACACCCACAATATCCTATGTGTCATGTTTGCTGTACCAAACCAACAATGTCCTATGTGTCATGTGTGCTGTACTACACCCACAATATCCCATGTGTCATGTATGTTGTACTACACCCACAATATTCCATGTGTCATATATGCTGTACTACACCCACAATGTCCCATGTGTCATGTATGCTGTACTACACTCACAATATTCCATGTGTCATATATGCTGTTCTACACCCACACTGTCTCTGTGTCATGTATGCTGTTTAACACCCACTATATTCCATGTGTCATGTACGCTGTATTATACCACAATGTCCCATGTGTCATGTATGCTGTATTACACCCCAATATCCCATGTGTCATGTATGCTGTACTACACCCTCAATGTCCCATGTGTCATATATGCTGTATTACACCACAATATCCCATGTGTCATGTATGCTGTATTACACCACAATACCCCAATGTATTATATATGCTGTATTACACCCACAATATCCCATGTACCAGTATAATGTATGCTGTATTAACCGTCAATATCCTATGTGTCATATATGGTGTACTATACCCACAATATCCCATGTGTCATATATGCTGTATTAGATCCACAATATCCCATGTGTTATCTATGCTGTACTATACCCACAATATCCCATGTGTTTTCTATGCTGTACTACACCCACAATATCCCATGTGTTATCTATGCTGTACTACACTCACAATATTCCATGTATCATATCTGCTGTATTACACCCGCAATACTTGAAGTGTCTTTTATACTGTATTACATCTAAAATTTCCCATATGTCATATATGCTGTATTAACCGACATTATCCCATGAGTCAAATATTCTGTATTAACCCACAATATCCCCTGTGCCATGTAAACTGTATTAAACCAACGTGTCCCATATGTCTTGTATGCTGAAGTACGGACAACATCCCATGTGTCATATATGCTGTATTACACCCTCGGTAACCCAATGAACAATATATCCTAAGATGGCAGAGATATCCTTCACTTAGGGACAAAACGACAATACAACTCACTGCACAGAGGTAGCTTTGATATAAAATCTATTCTATCGTTTTGAGAGCTGTAAACGGCCATACATGAATGCATACTTGAAGCGATCCTTTGTTCACATTATTGTGATACAGACATGTAATAACCCCTCTTTCCTCCGCCATCCCCCACCCCCTTGTGACTCAACCTCTTCTACAATGAATATCACTTCCTGATTTGCCCACCATGATCCCCGTTCACTATATTTTCCATGAACTGGTGTGAAAAAGTGTCACGATTAAATCTCTGTCTGTAGATTCTGACATTGTAGATTATTTACAAAAATGTGTCTGAATGCTGTTTAGCTCAAAGCACACATGCCGGATAACCGATACACTGAATTAGGTCTTCAACCTTCAATACCCTCAATACCCTCAATACCTTCCAGGAATTTGGCTTAGTAGATGGCGACTGAACTAAAGAGTCTTAAAGCTCATAATAACTATAGTTATACCAGTGAATTACGTTTGGATTACGATTTTTCGAAAAGTATTAATCATTTCAAGCAATATTCAAATCATCTCTTACATATATGGTAGTTAGTTTAATAAACACCTCATCATACAGCAATATACCAAATAATGAGGTTTGGGCTTGTTATAGATGATAGATGAGGATGTCACAGCTGTAGTAGACTTATGATTCTCACGATGTTTTTATTTCCCAAACATACCTAAACTCGAACCTTCCGAACATCTGCGTCGTGTATGACAATAGTAAACCAGAGGATAATATGCCATTTATCTTAAATCTAAATTTATCTGATCGAACTTTCGAGCTTCGTGTCTAAACAAGGGTTAAGGAAGTCGTAAAAGAAATGTTCCTTAAATAAAGGAAGGGGGGGGGGGGGGGGGGGGGGGGGGGGCATGTGCTCACACAATTTGAATTTGCTATTTCTGATCGGAATATTTAATGGATAACCTATATAACAACTTTAAAATGTCCCTTCTATTAGTCAAGTCAGAAGAATGGCATTGTACGTTAGGCCAGTGGTCCAAATACAAGTTAAAGGTCATATTACCTTTACTGGACAATAAACGCAACGCATGTTTCGAGATTTCCCTTTTCTCAGCAACATACTATTACATATGCACAAAGTTGTGCTGAGTTTGTACATCATGATAATCAAGTAGTGAGAGACATTTTCTGACTTGAAATGAGGAGTGACTATAAAATATTTTTCATTGTTTATTTTTTTAAGCCCAGTAGTTCCTGGTCACGTACACTTGTATGATCATGTATATCACGATGGCGTGTCATGTGAAATTAAAATGGGTTTAACGCCGCTCTGAACAGAATGTCAATTACAGTAAAGTACGGTTATAACGAACTCAAAGGGACTACTAATTTTAGTTTGTTTTAACCGTAGTTCGTTATAAGCATATATACAGCATAACTAGAGCAAATAGTCGGGACCAAAAAAGTAGTTCGTTATATCCGTCAGTTCGTTATAAGCGTGTTCGTTATAACCGTAGTTTACTGTATATCAATTCCGGAACTCTGTTTGAATCATGTGTCCTCGGAGCGTACGTATTTGACAGAACCTGTCACCTGGCGGCCCCACATGGGACTGCTTCGTGTTTGCCTTAATGTAACCAAAACATCAAGCCATGGTCTGTCCATCAAGACGAAAACCAACGAGTGCACAGACGAATGAGAGCTCAGTTTACATTGCACGAACAGTGATGATTCTAGTGCAACAACCTTACGGCCATCTACTCTTAAAATGCTTTAAAATATCATCGGAATCGTTCAATGGACTCTGCTTTAAGTGGAGATTTATTATGATTTTTTGGAAACAAAACTTATTGATTATTCATTGATCTTGTGTGGTCATTGACTGACACGTAACAATTTCTGTGTTAACCTTTCGTTTCAGTTTGAAACAGTTTTGAGGGGTGACGGTATAATACACGCGGACCATCTGT